AAAAGCAATACTAATATCGTTCGTTTTAGAGATGAAGTTCCATTCAGTTATTAATGATTTTTCTCAATGTTTGTGATAGAGCTATCTATATTTCTAAGCTCCTAAAGTGCAATAAAAGTAGAAATTATAATCTAGAGGAATATGACCATTTAGAGAATTTAGACTGTAGTATTTGGTGACACTTAGCTCTATACATATGAGTAGCAGTCAAGCGTTTCTGTCATCTTTAAAATATATTACTGATTCTTTTCTATATTCCCTTTTCTATTGTACAATACAGCATGTCTAATAAATTGCATGCCAGCACTGTTGGTATCAGGCTGAAAAATATATCCTAATATAATGAAAGTTAAGATTCGAATTAACCTATATCAACTGAGTAGGGTAACAGGAATGCTTTTGAAACATATAAGGAAAAAAAAACACCTTTGAGCCATTAATAGGTAGAAATACTATGGGTTAAATTTAAAAAAGGAGGCATCTCCATTTTTTTTTGTCATCATTCAAGAAAAAGCCAGGTGTTGATTAAATTCTAACAAAGAGGAATGGGCAGAGCTAGTATGGGCAGACTTTTAAAAACCCACACCATTCAAGTTTTTCTGTTGTAGTTATTGTTTTGTTTTCCTTGCAAGAACTGACTGGAAATACTCTTGATTTACTACTATGAAGTTCCAGTAGGTATTAGAACATAAAAATATATCCAGAACACTGAATGAAAGGTAACATGCCAAAATTATGTGTAATAAATGGATAATTATAATCTGTCTGCTCCAGATTGAATCTTGGCCCAAAAATAAAATCGATGATACAGATCTTAATTAAATAAAATAAAATATAAGGACAGTACCATGCAATGTAAAGATGATATATCATTCAGCATAATTTCCTATAAAGTACTTTTGTCCAAACCTTTGAAGGAATTCAGTACTGGTAAAAGGAATACTGATGCGGTGAGATACTTGGAGTCTAGGAAGATATTTGACAGAGCATCACATACTTGATTGAATAAAAAAAGTAAAGGCAAATATACAAATTCAACTGTAAAATCATAGTACAAACAATACAAGCAAATGATCCATTTAACATTAGTTCCCAGTTTGACATTTAAGCAAAAAAAAAAAACCTAATGTGAGTTTTGGATATAATAATTTTAAAGACCAACTGTATTAACTGATAGTAAGTGATACCTTCATTAAAGCAACACAGTAAATTTCTAAGTTTAGCCAAAGAAATCTGTTTCACTTACCTGCAGTAGTCTGAAACAGTCTTTGACCATTAATAATGGAAATATTTGTACACTGATTGTTCACTTCTTCCTCTCATTTAGCTTTAAAATATTGATTTCTTTTTGTCTTACCCTCAGCCTAATCAACAGTATTTTGATCCTCTTTATTGCTTCCTGCATAATCAAGAAGTTTAACACAAGTCTACTGTTGCAGTTTTATGCTATATAAAAAGGATATAAGGGTAAAGGATTGCATTAAAGAAGCTGAGATGCATGTTTTAGTGAAAGTCTCTTAAGCTAATCCCTTAACTCAGGCAAAATCTGAAGTGATACGCTCGACTTCAATGGATTTTCACAGAGTAAGAACTTTCAAATCATGTTCTTGAAAGCAGGAGGGAAAATCAGAAGAAGATCTAGTGGTCAGGATTTGAAGCTAGGCCAATGGGCTGAGAGTGTGTGCATACATAAATATGTATCTGTAAATTGACAGTAAGTGCATTTATGAATTCTCCATGAATAGACAATTTTTAATTTAATTGATTGATTTTTTTTTTTTTTTTTCCCTAGAATAAATGCTCTTTTTCAAACAAGAATTGATTCAGGGAATTTATACCATCTGTGACATATCAGAGGTTGAACCAGATGATTGCAGTTTTCCCTTATGGTCTTTTAATCTGTGACTTTTATAATAGGCTCCAATGTAGAGGACCTGGAAGTAGTGCTACAGATGAGACAGCTGAACTCCACAAATTCTCAGAGGCAGACGGTTGCCAGCTGGCCAGACTTCATAACATTAGGAAGATAGCTTTAGAAGAAGCAATTTGCACACTTTTTAGTAATTTTAGCCTCCTCTCTGCTGTGCTTGACGAAGGGAAATTTTTGCGTGTAGCAAAGCTGACAGAAATACTGGGATAATATGGAAAGAAATAGATGCAACTAAAGTGCGTAAAAGGTGGTGATGATTCTCCTGATCGGTTTTGCAAAGTAATAAAGCAAAGCAACCCACAGACACACACACAGAACAGAACACACCAAACCAAACTAAACCAAACCATTACCAAACCAACCAACCAACCAAACAAAACAATTAGGATAAAAGTAATAAATGATCACATAATTAAAGGTCAGTTTAAGAGGCAAGATAGAAAGGGGCAGACCAAAGACAACAGGCAAAATCCTGATCAGCTATGGGTAGTTTAACTAAGATCAGATAACCCAGTAGTGTAGATCAGGCAGGCTAATGGGATCTACAATTTACAATGAGCACGCTTTCTACAGTGTTAAGCTTCCACGTTACTGCTGTTATGCACTTATAATCTGATCACAGCGTCATTCAAGAGAAATTCAAAGATCCTGTCGATATACCAGAGACCAGAAGCTGGCTTTTACAGAGAAGAGCACTCTCCACTGGAAGCTCCCTCGATACCTTTTAAGTGATTCACAAAATCCATCTAAAAGGGACAATATAGAAAAGATGGAAGGCATATTAAATGTCATCTTCTCAAAGACTACAGCTGCTTTGAGAATACAGCTAGTACCTCCAGATTAACAGCAGTGTGTCTTAGATGTGTCAGTCTGTGAGAGATGGGTAGTATTTTATGTGTCATTTCAATTAGAGATTTGTTTTGTTTGGGGGAGAGAGAAGACTAGTCAAAAAAACGTGTACAGAAAGCATTGTTAGGAAACATAAAATCTTTATTTTCTCTGCCTCAGCACTCACTATCCCTGCTGGAGTTTCACACTGAAAGAATGAATGGTGCAACGCTTAAAGGTATCAAGAAGAACTGCTACAAATAACAAACAAATTTCAATTTTGATTAAAAACTCAGAAAGCGCTACAATTTGCAGTTGCACTATTGTTTTGAGAGTCACTTTTATTATTTTTGCAACATTAAAATGGTTAATTTATCTGTCTCATTTGTAATTTGTCCCTTTTTCACTTGAAAACTTCAAGTTTGTGAGACTAGTTGATAAACGCCAAAAACTAAAAGAATTTTTGCAATACAAACATGATGCTATTTTATTTATGACAAACAAGATCTGCTTTTTTTACTAATAGTAAGACTGAAGTCTTATTACTCAGATAAAATGCTAAATATGATTTATTTTCTACCTACATGGTGTTTGACAGTTCCAGAAAACTAAACAGGAGACTTTGAGCCAGATACCCTTAAGTGAATTCTTTTCCCACCTGATTTAGAACAGCATAAGATACTTTGTAATATACTTTTGCTAGATCTATATTTAACCTGCTTTATTGATACAGTAGCTTAACATTCACAAATCACACAATTTTTAAAGCTGAGAAAATAACAGCTAGATAAAAGAAGACAGGAAATTAAGAGAAGAAGAATTAAACTTCCTATCCCTGCCCTCCTCCAAGGACTTAATTCTGATTTACAAAGATCATTCAAATGCTTCATTGAAGCTAATTGTATCATTACTCTACTGGACCACTACTGCTGCTATTGTGTCTCTTCTAATTACTACCAATGTTTCACCAATTTTGAATAAATTACTAGTATTAAACTTCCTATTGTGCTTGAATTACTGGCAACAGCCAGTCCATTGTTTTTTATATAGCTGTTATATCGTTGAGTCGTAACTGTGTTGAAGCTTGCTCTGTGGGAGCTATGACCTGAAACAGCTGAGGAACACAGGCTTAAAATTTATCCCTATATGTAAGGACACTAACTTCAGCTGACGGCACTTTGCGCAGGATGATGACTCCAAGGAGCCCATCAGGCAGCGCAGGAGAGCGAGGTGCAAAGCTACGCTTTCCTCTTCCATCCTGAGCCATCTGTTCACAGCTCTGCCCTACCATGTAGTAGTTGTCCTGATGGCTGCTCTAACTTGTGATGGCTGGCAGTACTCCCAAGTGGAAAGTGTCACAGCAAGCAGTTGCCAGAATATGTATGAATCTCCTATCATGCTGCTTTTCTAGGTGCGGACCCAAACGCTGGTTAAAACTCTGCTAAAAGTCAGGAGGAATGAATGAATGGACTTGGATTTTACTTCACTGGGCTGTAGACTGACACTGTAGCATGGAGTTTGATTTTGCAGATAAGAGAGATGTCTGCAAATCTTCCTCTTCCCCCATCCCCAGCCCCCCTCTGAAAACGGGGAGTGCCTGGAGCAAAAATCATGGTTTTGCGAAGCATTTAGGCTCAGATCACGGCATTATTAGAAGAACGTGCAATGGCCTTCTTCAATTAGATAGGAAGGTGTTGGATGCTTCATTTGATCTGGAAAGCAATCTAGCTTAATAAAGACATATGAATGTATCTGTAAGAACTAAGCAATAATAACAAGGTGCTTCTACTTGTACACCATAAATGCAGATAACATTCTTATTAGAAGAGGGCGTTATTAGAGATTTTACATAAGCTTTTTAACAATCAAGAACAAAATCTAAAGAATTATGAACAAATATCAGGTTAAAGAAAAATCAAACCAGCAAAATATCTACATTTGTTCTTGGAACCTTTCTTTTGAGTAAAACTGACTTGCATTGGATTTAACACGCAAGTAAGAAGGCATATGAATTACTAAACTGCAGTCAACTAAAGGAGAAGATACCTTCATAATATTGGGGTGGGTTTTTTTGTTTGTTTGTTTGTTTTTTAAATTCCTTCCACAGTAATTACCTGGAGCTGTATCTTACCTTCTTTGTGATATCTAGTAAAACTTCACTGAACTTCAACAATAACAAAACTCTTTTCCTTGTTATGTGAGAAATACACATGAGAACTGTCATAGCTATAGTTAATACTAGCTAATTTAGGTATAGTACTTCATTCAAAGTTTCTATGGTTTTTTATTTCATAAAAGGATACATCAGACCCTAACTGGACTGTCTAGCTAAGATGCCCGGTGTCCTATTTTCCATTAGTTGGTTTTTGATTGTCTGAACCGAGCACTTTAATTGGTCTTGCTGAGTTATTTTTCCATGTCTCAAAGAAATCCCATTTTTTGATTTATAGACTAAGCACGAGGTTTCTGTGGAAGTTAGTTAGACTTTCTGAGCATTGCAACCCCTTCCTAGACCTGGGCACTTTCCTTTGGTTAATCTGTTATAAAACTTACACGGCTAATATCAGATAACATTATATCTGTCACTTAATCTTTTGTTTTGATAACCAGGAACATTTTGGAATTCAGCATCCTTCAACACAGAAACGTCCTACCTGCATTTCCCCACCTTCCATGGAGAACTCAGTGCAGATGTCTCATTTTTCTTTAAAACTACTGCTTCTTCAGGAGTGTTTCTAGAAAACCTGGGAATTCAAGACTTTATAAGGATAGAATTATACTGTAAGTAACATCACTGACATTATTATTATAGCTTTCAGTAGAATTAAATTAGAATTAACTTAAAAAAAAGAATATTTTAAAAGTGTTCTCTAGCTTTATTACTGTTAGTACTGCTATTCTAGTGTTATCATTCTCCCACAAATCTCAGTGCTCGAACTATACAAATATCTATTCAAAAATAATTTCTGCCCCAGAGAGTTCTTCATCTAAGAGCATAGCAATCAGCCCCTGACTGCTCAGACTGTTCCTCCTTCTGTTGCTCGCTGCATTCCTGTCACCAAATTCTCTCCTTCTAAATTTTAAGGCCATGCATTATGTGTGGCTACTGGGAGATTCACTCAGTCACAAAGTGTGACTCAGACATTCTGTGGCACAGTAACCTAGCTTAGTCACACTTTCTCATCAGTATTTTTTGTTTGTTTGGATTTTTTTTTGTTATTTTCTTTGTACATATCTAAATCTTGAGACTTTTACATACAAGTAATTTTTTTATACAAGAAAAAATTAAATGTCTCACTAAATTCAGTAAGACGACTAATGTAGAATTAAAGCTTTATCTTAGATGAGTCAATGTTTTAGTCGTACTTACATTGTTCATTACTAGAAGGGAGAATATTTAAAAGCTTTAAGTATTATTTCAAAAAACTTTTGAATTCATTTGAAGCGACACATCAGTTAAAAAGTCTTATACTTGGCAGGTGCCTCTGCGAGATCTTTAAAACTCTTTTTACTTTGGATTAGACAGTTCATAATTTTTTTACAGTCAATCGTGTTATCACACTCCAGTATTTTCCAGTGAAGAGTACAAAAAAAAATATTAAAAATATATATCATATAATGCAAAATATTACTATAGAAATGTAAAGAAATGCATCTTTATAAAAAAGTAAAATACTCTGCGTACTTCTTTTTTTGCTAATGCTAATGTCTTAGGTTATGGAAACAAATAAACATCTAGTGTGTTCTTCTGTAGGCAATTTAATTATTGAATATTGTGCAATGCTTAATCAATTTGGTTTGTATTATCTCAAACTGTAGTGCTTTCTTTGAAAGATGGCCTGTTTTCAGCACTATTTTTGTCATGTTTATCAAGAGTGTGAACTGTCTTCTGTTAAAGTTCTGTGAACAGAAGAAAACACAGTAGCATTATGACTTCACTATCATGCAATATACAAAATGCACTGGGTCAGCACTTCAGTGGAGAATCCCTGAAGCAATGATGATATTCTTGTCTGAATAAATGATTTTCTGTTTTCAAAATAAACAGTTAAATCATGGAAACGTTAAAGGAATGCTTCTGAGGACTAAATTTATGCAGGCAGCTGCCAGAAGGCCATAAGTCTTTCTTCAGAACAATAATATGCAGACAAACTGATGTTGCTTGTCTCATTCATTCATAAGTGTCTGAACTACTGTATACTTACGTGTTTTATATGACTTGTGACTAGTGAGGCATGAGAGAAAGTAAAAGGCTAAATTGGTCTGTATTTTCAGCATTTAAAATAAACAAAGTTTATTATATTATTGTCTAGCATGTAGAGATACTACTTCATTTTCAGGAACATCCTAATTAATTAAATAGACAGACCTATTCTTTTTTTGTATGTCATAAGTAAGATTGTTCATATTGGAGCCAAAATTGTGTGTTTGCACTGATGACAATATCAGTCAGAAATGAGTAATATACATTTCCAGCACAAGTGCCTTTCTCTCTGAAAAAAAAAAAGGAAAAAAGAATCACCTTGAACATTTTACGTTGTATTAGATCATGTAAATTTCATTGTCATATACTCCTTTATAATATATTTGAATGTAAATCACCAAACTACACTTGATATTTTATAATCGTTCCACATAAGTCAATGTGGTCGATTTGTGTAATAACAAACAACAAAAAGGAAAATTTAAAGTGTCAGTGTTTAGGATGAGGACGTGTTAGAGAATATTTAAAACTCATTATGTCATTTACATTTAGCATTCTATACTTCTGAACAAAACAATTTTTCTTGGTGTTTTATTGATTGTTCTTGAGCTTTGTATTTTATTCTTTTATTTATGACATAGTGATTGTTAGACACTTAAGTCTAACTTTGCCACAGCAAAAATCTCTGATCAAAAGCTTTAAATCGGAAATGTGAATTTAGTGCTGTTTGTTTGCTTGTATGAAGTTAAAAATACTGCAGTACATCTGCATATAATATTCTAGAAAGCTATTGCAAAAACGGAGGTGTACATGCTAACTGTATTTTAAAACATAGAAGAAATGAATAGTCTTGAAGACGATATTTGATATCCTTTTTTTTACAGAATTATAAAAAACTTAGTCTTTGAGTTTTTATCTGAGCTTCTGTAATCTTCTGCAGAAGTAGTGGTTGAAAGCAACATGCCTGATTCAACTCTGAATAGTACACTCTGTTAAATACTTAAATGATCGCAGGTTACATCCTCTAGATGAAAGTCTGAGTAACTTTTTACACTATCTGAGTGCACACTGAAGGATTATTTCCTATTTGTAGGCAACAAGTTAAACAGAAATTTAAAGTAGGGTTAGAAACACTATGTTGCATTACTTTGGAGAGTCTTCCATGGTTGCATTGGAAATAGTTCCAAAGAGTCCAATATGCAGATGCTGTTGGTCGTTGTCTGCCCAAATTCAAAACTTATTTTCCAGAATGAGTAGAATTCAATTCTTTCCTTTATGGAAACTGCTCGAATTTTGTATTCTATAGTATATTACTTGGTAATTACTTTGTGCTTCTGCATGTGATGCTCAACCTCGATACTCTGAATGGATCACTGCACGTTCTGTCATTTTAGCCACGGCTAGACACAGACCACTCTCCATGATTAACATCAACTGAATATTCTGCTCCACTTTGCCAATTTATAGCTGTGCTCTGCCTACCCATGAATGCATTAGGGCCATAAGAGTCCTTGAAATGTTTTGAAAAATTTTGAATAACACCAACATAGGTAGGGTCCACAACGCATTTTTGCATCAGAAGAGAACTCCTGGATGTACCCTCCCCTGCTGCCCAGGAAATAGCTAAAGTGCTCTTCGTCTCTGTCTTTTATTGCAAGAAGACAAATTTTAGAACTCTGTCAGCATGTCGCCATGTCCTGTGTCATACCTTGCATAGGTGGTATGAATGCTGTTCTTACAAATGCCAAATATCTTCCAAATTTGCAGTGTAGTTCGTTTCAGCACAATTATTTAAAATGTTATGCAATGTGAACTGATTATATTTTTCCCTTTTTCTGACATATTCTAGTCAGTCTTCAGAGACTCCAGTGGATGACCATACAGTTATTCTTGCTATCTGGGCCTTCATCTTTGGAACTTCTGGGATTAGTTCCCTTTTTTCAAGACTATGTTACATTTTTAGTGGTATTAACACAATTCATTGTTTCAGACATTATTTCAAAATCTTTATTATGTATTTTCTTGCCCTTAAGGTTCAAATAATAACATTATTTATCAGATCTGTCATCTGATATGCTATTTAATAGGCACATTCAGTAAGATCAAAGCAGAATTTCTGTTTTCAGACTTCACTCCAACAGTATCTAGAGGATTACAAAGACACCATTACAGAAGGCAGCATTCAGAAGAAATTCTCTTTACCTGATCACATGGAGTTTCTGTTGGTTTTGTTCTCCTACTGTGTGGTTGGTGTGTTTTTTTTCTCTTTTCCCCCTCACTAAGGGGAGACTGAGCTCGCAACTTTGTCCAAATGAAACAATTTATCCTAAAATTCATTTTACTGAGGAACAGGTTTTAGATATTGGTTATTTTTATTACTGTATAAAACACTGTTGATTTTTAAGCAGAAAGGAGTTTATTACAAAAGGAATTCTGTTTAATAATTTACTGCACATTATGCCTTCTTTTATATGGAAAGTCAAATGCTTTGTGTATTTGTCATTTTACTTTTCTCTCTTAGGTTCAACTGTTACATAAAAATACTTTATAACAACTAGATTTGGGACTTAAGGGTTTGCAAGCACACAGCATTACTCAGTGTAAAGCTTGGCCAAAGTGTACCTAAATGTTATAAAATGCATAATGTATCTTTAAAAAGTGGAAGCAAAATAAAAATATTTAATTGTTTTTTTTTTTTAACTCAGTAAATTAATCTTTGAAAATGTTGTTTGAAGTTGATTTATTTCCCTTGACTACTTCTAATTGTTTTGCTTTTCTCTCAGAGTCCAATGACATAAATGGGAACCTTGCAGTTGGATTCATGGAATCTTCTCAAACTTCTAGTCCTTTAATCAAATCTTTAATGATGCAAATTGCTGATAATCCCTTGTTTAGGGATTACGTATTTTCATACATGACTGTTGGTGAATATGTGAAATAAACAGTTTCAGAGAGAATGTTCATAGTTTCCAGATCTTCAATTTCTGGCATATTCCTCATTTTATTATTTTAACCTGTGAAGATTCAATAAAAATTTTCTAACCAAACTATAAAACCATGTAATGTGAAAGTTGCTTAGAGAATGACTCAGTTTAATTCATCATATTCATAGTCTTACAAGCTTCATCAAAATTTTCCCTCTGATATTTGTAGAGATTGTGTAAATAAATAACAAAAGCAAATAGACAGTAGAAGATGCTTATTGGATCACAGTGGTGATAATTTAAATATAGTTAACAATGATAATCAATTAGCATTTAAGCAGGCAATGCTTTTTATCCAGACTGGAAAATAACAAAGCTAGGACATTTAACTGTTTCTTGACTACTATGCTCTCTAGGTATTTACAGTTTGATTTTCAAGCTGTTGACAAAACATTGTTCTCACTGTCAGTGAGTGTGAAGAATGAATTTTGGAGATGTACCTCCTGAAGTAAACTTTTCTCTTAAAACAATCAGTCTTATCCCATGAAATGGCAGTCTAGATCTTAAAAGTAACTTGTTCTGCCACTTAATGATTTTGCGACCTAATTAACTATGAAATAATTTAAATGTCCTTTGTTACTGTCCTCTTTCTAGCTCCGTCTGAAGTGCTCTTTTCATTCGATGTTGGAAATGGACCTAGTGAAGTTACAGTGCAATCACTCACTTCCTTAAATGACAACCAGTGGCATTATGTAAAGGCTGAACGAAACATCAAAGAGGCATCCTTACAAGTAGATCAGCTTCCTCAAAGGTCTCATGCTGCTCCACCTGACGGGCATATTCGCTTGCAGCTCAATAGCCAGCTTTTTGTAGGTAGGCACTCATTTAACTAATCTTTTCTAGTTATCATCACGAAAATAAAAGGAAAAAGAAAAAAGAAAGATTAAAAAATGGTGACTAAGTCTTTTGAAAACAGTTTGTATGATGACATGAGAGCCTTTGTGAAAAATCTGTGGAAATTTAGCTCTATTTTGAGATTACAAATTCAGTGCCTTATCCTGTAGTTACTACTGGACAGGCTTTCAAGCAAACTTTTCTTCTTTTGGGGTTTGTTTGAAAAACAACTATAAGATCTCAATTTACACCACGTTTTTGAGAGGATGTCCTCTGCTGAAGGAAGATGCATTACTTCTGTAATTTCAAGGAGGTTTAATTGTGTCTCTTCATCCACAACTTTTCAGGTTTCCCAGAAAAGTTGTGAATGTCCCATCACTGGAAGTGTTTTAAGGTCAGGTTGGACAGGGCTGTAAGCAATCTGATCTGATGAAAAATGTCCCCTCCCATGGCAAGAGCGTTGGCCTAGATGATCTCTGCAGGTCCCCTCTAACGCAAACAATTCTGTGATTCTATGTTTCTATGATCTACTCCTCTGCCCTTTGCTAACACAGTTAATAAAATAATCAAACTATATTTACTTCATACTGGGAACAAGAGAAAGAGACTATTCTTCGATTTCACACAACCAGGAAAAATCCAGATCTATGGTTGGTTCTGTCTAAACAGCGATAGCCTCTAAGGAAGAAGTTTACCTGAATATCTCTGCCTTTGTACTTTAGCAAATGTGACATTAATGTATTTAGATAAAACACTGGAAAAGTAGAAATGAAATAATAAAAAAATAATTAATGTTTATTTAATATTGCGTAGATCTATGTAAAGCTATGTGTTATGTACATGGTAGTGTTCTTACTGTAATATTCCCATGTTATGAATATATAAGTTTCTGGTGTATGTGTACGGTATATAGTATAAGAGTGTGTAAAGTCTGCCCTAGTTTTAAACAGATCTTCATTTAGATCTGCTCTGAGACACATCATACTAAACGAATATATATTTTATTTGCTGTGTGTTGGGGAGGAGTGTAGTTAAGGTGACTAGTGTTATGAAACTGTAGCTACAGAAACTGAATCCTTAGGAAAGAATTAAATGGAGAGGGAACCTTTGTACGTTGGGATCGAAATTCTGACCCGTGCCTCAGTAGGAACCATGGACAGAAGATGGATATTAGACCAAATATTGAAGAACTTTGCACTTCGATTAAAAGCATGAGAGAAGATTCTATAACAAAGATGATATCCAAGATATTAGCTGTAGTAGAGTTAGGAGGAGTTTTAAAATTAGTTTATATTTACAGTAATGTACTAGAACTATTAATGAAAAAAATGGGAGATATTATTTACTATATTACAACAAATTCTATTGCTGTCCTCTGACCTGACTTACCATATGAGTGCTGTTATATGAATAGCTGAAATTAGATCAGTTTGAATTTATAAGGTCTGATCTGTGAAGCAAGACTAGAAAATGGTCTAATTCTACAGATGTTTATGATAATATCAAGTCTAAATGGTTTTCTAATAATTTTAACAATTAATTGATCTCTAGTTCTTCTGAGTCTTCTTCCAAACAATTTAATACTGTATAAATCTGTATTGACAGTTACACTTTCTGACAATATTTTATGAAGTAATTGGCCATTGAATAGAGTGATCTCTTATTGTCAAATAATTTGACAAATTCTGGTAAATTTATATACATTCACCTCCTGTGTGGAGGTGACAATTTAAAACCTGTTTTGACTTACATACAAACAAACTGTATAGCTTGTTTTCTTCAGATAATATTCAGGTGACTAATCGTATTAGAAGAGTGATTCTGTTGTTTTGCTTCTGATGTTGAGGGGTTTTCTCCTCTCTGAAAATTCTTGAAGGTTCTGGGAGTAAAACGAAGTAACATTCACTGTAGTACTGTGTATCTTGAAATCCTTTATGAATTCGTACAAATATTTTGAAATAATTTAGAGCAAAACTGATAAAAATGACATCTGTTTCATTTTGTTCAGTCATAACAGTGTTTTTGAAGTGTGACATGACAAATGATAGTGATTTGTTTGAATCACTTGTGTCATGTATTTCCTGAATATTATTTGTGAGGATTTGCTACGACTGCAGCAAGTTTTTTTGGGTAATCTGTTTCTGCAGCTGCAATAATTTTGTGTGGATCAATACAGTGTCTGGCTTGCTTTGGTTTTGAGTTAAAAAAGTCTTTTGGATAATCCAGCTTTTTATAACTCTGACCTATTTATAAGATATTTTCATCTCTTCAATTAAATACAATTTTCTTTGGTGGAGGAAGTAATGAGACTTACTGTTTGACTATTTCCACTGACAGTCCACTATTACATACACAGACTTGTCTGGTCAAGCCAGTGAAACCATCTAGAGAACAACAAAACATACAGTGTCCTAAGAATGACAGTAACAGAGTCACTCTTAAACGTCAGCTGGTATGCCTAGTACCTGTCAAAGTCAGTCGTCAGCCAGTTACTAACATACTAGGACTGTGATTTCTTCAGGCTAAAACACTCGTTCTTTACGTCTTAGCAGTATATACTCTGGTGTTCCAAAAAAGCCAGAAGAAGAACTAAAGTCTAAAGCTGCCATCAAAATGTTCATTTTAACTAAGATAAAATAAAATATTCATATTATTAGGCAGTTTTGTGACATTGTATCTGTAAATAACAACATCTAGATTAAAATTTTCCATGTAACACCAAGAATCTTACAAACTTTGAACTAGAGATGAAGAAATGGACGATTACATTGAATCATTTAACCAAAAGTTAATTGAAATTGCGGGAGAATTATAGTTGGTTATCTTACGTATTGGTGTATTTTATGCTTTTACTTTTTAAAAAAGCACAAATGACAGGAAATATCAAAGTTGCACAAAAATGGACAAGAGAGATGGTATGTAGATTGCACACCTTACTAAGAAATCAGGATGAATAAAATGTTAGCTGTCAGGACATGTGCTAAAAATAAACAACAATGAAAACAAATGAAATAACAACTGTTGTTAGCCTTAGGATTGCCCTGTATCTTTATCACGTATGCTTGGTAGTCAGGTATATCCTGTTTGGTGTTCTGTAGAGTCTGAGATAAGCCTTCTTATTAATCAAGAATGGACATAGCTTCCAGTATGGGACAAAGTAGTTCAGGCCAGACACCAAATCTGAGGTATCATGATCCATACTATGGGACTGACAGACAGACATAGAAATCAGTTGATAAGTCAGCAGGATCTTTAAAAAGTAAAACTGCAAAGATAATCACTGTCGCGTTCCCTGTTTTCTTTTTTCTTTTCTTTTCTTTTCTCCTTTCTTTTTTTTTTTTTTTTTCAGTTTAGTTTTGTTTTTCTTGGTTTATTCCTCTCCTCTCCTCTGCTCTCCTCTCCTCTCTTGTTTTTTTTTAAAAAAAAACAAAACAAAGCCAAAACCAAAGCCATCTAATTTCTGGATGTTACTCCTTTGCAAATTAGTAGATGTATGCATCTTTGCTTGGTATCTTACTGTGCAAAATCCTTGTTTCCCATTAAATGCTACAAGGGTTTGCTGTAATTACTTGACAAAAAAGAACTCAGATATGCTTTTAAAGCTATTTATAAATATTTTCACATACATAGGCTTGTATCTTAGAAATTCATGATAGACTGTTCAAGGGCTGTAGAACATAAAAAGGTTTTTCCACATCGATTCTTTTAAATTTTTAAAAACTCATATGAATTTATTTCAGGTGGGACAGCATCCAGGCAAAAAGGGTTTTTGGGATGCATTCGTTCGTTACAGTTAAATGGAATGGCCCTTGACCTAGAAGAGAGAGCAAAGATGACACCAGGAGTTGAACCAGGCTGTCCTGGACATTGTAGCAGCTATGGGAACCTGTGCCACAATGGTGGAAAATGTAGAGAGAAATACAGTGGATTCTCCTGTGACTGCACTTTCTCTGCCTATGCTGGGCCATTCTGTAAGAAAGGCAAGTATGTCTTTTAGCTTTATCAATTATTGAAAACAGGACTGTACAGTCCAGAAGAAGGTCTTTACAGCCCTTTGAAGATGTGCGTAAATGTTTGTAAAACATTTATGTTTTACTTAACATAGAGAAACATTCAACTGAATTTGTTCAGTAAGTTTTGTTAAACACTGTCTTCCAGAGATATGTTCAACATCCACAGCTTAAACCTGGAACCACAGTACTTGAGAGGATCACATCGTTTCTTAATGTTATGCAACTCGTTTGATTCTTTTATATTATAATAAAGATAAGACTATATCTTTATAAATAAAGTTTTGGATTTCTGTCTTTCAAGTCTTAATCTCAAAACTAAGACTAAATTTGAAAAATAAACCAAGAAGCAGAAGAATCTTAAACTTCTTTTTACTGTAAGAAGAAAGTGAGATCATCAGAAACAGGACCAAGCTCATGTTTTCTGCCATTTTAAAGAATTTCTTTGGTTATGGTGTCATACTGGTAGACAATCACAAGTCATCAAGTTTGAAATTTAAGAATGGAAGTTTATCTAGAACTTTTGGTATCTGCATATAACTGTGGTCTGCTAAAAATGACTTGCTCCCTATGTGTATTATTAAATTAATTCTTCAAAGTACTCAGTGGCTTAAATACCATAACTCCATGTGCCTCTAAATTAGTGAGCACAACATCTGTCCAACCACCACTGCCACTGCAAGAATGAAAGACTCATGTGACATCCTTCTATGTCCATTGCTGTGGAGCTAATGCCACTGAGGTAGGAATGATATGAAAACAGCAGCATAGAGTAATGGTCGCACTCCATGTTTATTATTCTGCAGATGCAGAGTAGCTCCTGTTGCTGAAAGTATAGGATGACGTATAGCAATAACTTTCAATCACCTTTGTCAAAGATATCAACACAGATTACAGAAATTTCCAGAAATATTTCTGAAGTTTGGAGGTTGTGTGTGAAAGCAGGATAGTCTAAGACAGTAACTTTTAGCAGAAAATGGCTGTGAGATATCACAGAGATACAGAAGCCCTCTACGAATGATTTATCCACAAGAAGACCATAACCCAGTTTGTATTCTTCTGTTCTTTCTCCCACACCAGTCTCTTTTTCCATATCTGTGTTTCAGGTGTGGCCAAGTTTAATCTATGCGTTAGGATTCAAACTGCTGCACTCATTTCTCTGTAGGAGCAGTGTACGTGCAAGACAGAACATATTTGGCTTGGGGACATGCATAAACTGGAAAAAAAGCAGAAAGCATGTTCAAATCTAGACGAAAAGAAGCAATTCTTAATGCAACAGATATTTAATACCTGTATCTAAGTGGGCTTTTGCTGCAGCTCAGGTTGGGTCTTATTTTTCTTCATGGTTCTAAAAACTAATTCTATTTCTATTCCTTTTTCAGCTCTATCACGATAGTTAAGAATACATTTTATTTTGTCCCATGTCAGGAAGAAAGAAAAAAAAGAAAAAGCACTTTACTCTCATTTTGTATGATATTTAAAAACTGAATTGCATTTTCTTTCAGAAATCTCTGCCTATTTTGGGACTGGCACTTCTGTGACATACAATTTTCAAGAATACTACACCTTAGCTAAAAATTCCAGTTCTCACGCTTCTTCTTTCTATGCTGACATGACACTGAACAAGGAAGCAATTACATTTGCCTTCTCAACAACACGGACACCAAGCTTGCTGCTTTATATCAGCTCCTTCTACAAGGAATATCTCTCAGTCATTCTTACCAGAAACGGTGAGTGTTCAGCTAGGCCCTCTGGAAACACTAATGAACGTCATAGCTGCCAACTCAGACTCACTCAGAGTCCCAGACCTGAATCACACACTAAGCATCATCCTATTGTTGCTTTAAATGGTATCTCTATTTTCCAGCTGCACCAAGCAATGCTTTTCACATGAAAAACATTCCTCCTACTGTAATTTCAGCTTTTACTACTATTTTGTTTTGTTTTGGTTTCATTTGGTTTTTTATCCTGGTGGTAAAAATACTTTCTTCTATAAATGTTTTAGAAATGCAATAAAATATTTTTTTTTTAAAGATTTAACATAAAACTCAAAATGTATCTGATCTGTTTGCTACTCATGTGATGTATTAATTGCCATCTTCATGATAAATGATGAAATAGCCCACCTTTTGAAAGTGCATTATCCATTTTGCACATCACTCATTCTATTCGACTAATTTCGTAAGCTACTTACATACATACGAAAATACACATAAATACCTGTGAAAATACAAATAATGTAATTGATGTTTCCATTTGATAAGAACATTAAATATTAGTTGGATCTTTCTTTTTCACTCTTTCTTCTATGTCTAGATAATGTTCTTTTTGAGTTGTTTTTTGTTCAGGTTATTTTTTCAACTATAAAACCCCTCAGACTGAGTTGAATCTTTGGGTTCATCAAAGACTCTTCGCAGTCACAGTGGTTCTGTGGTCAGAGAAGGTTCTGCGCTTTTCCAGATACAGAGTTGGATGTAGAGTAACTGCAGTATTCTCCCCATCATATGAGGAGGAACATGTTTTATTCATGACTGGCCTGAGTCTGTCCTGGGCCTTACTTTCCAAATGATGAACAGAAAGTTGCAATCCATCTACAGCTGGTAGAGAATCTCTGACAAGGAAACCACGCTGCCTCTGTGTTCTGCTGTGAAAAAGTCTCTGTGTGATTGCATGCATACAGAGAGTATGCTGGGAGTTAACTACAAGAAATGGACAGTGAGCTAGAAATTATTAGCTACATCCTACTGAATTGTCAACTGGTCAGAGGTTTTCAGGTCTGGAGAGTGTAAAGACTATTCAAGAACAGCACTTGTTTCATTTGATAAGTCACATTGATATAAGCTGGCAGACCAGATCTTTCCCAGTTAAATTATAAATGCAATTGCTAAAATTTCTGCACAAATTGTAACTGGTTATTCAGATTTGAAACAATTCATGGCTATCTTTGTCACTACATCCTACTTCCAACATTGCTGTTACTGTTCTTGTTGCTTTCTTTCATTTCTCACTTATGTCAATTTCTCACAGTTAATTCCTTAAATAAATCAAACATTTGTTTTGCTCTCTTCACACATGCACCTGTGAAGCAGGAGGCATTGTATATGATCTACACTGCCTATTGTGTACATATTGTACTACACCTTTTTCTACATTTGTCCCTGCAGGAAGTTTACAGATCAGGTATAAGCTAGATAGCCATCAAGATCCTGATGTCTTCAGCATCAATATCAAAAGCATGGCTGATGGACAACTGCAACACATGAAGATTAACAGAGAGGAAGAAATGCTTTTTGTGGAGGTAATTCAATTAGATAAAAAGAAAAAAAAAGTAGAAGATCCAAAGCAAAATGAACTAAATAGTTACATCAAGACAATTACCCTCAAAAAACCTGTGTTTTAATATCTCAACTAAATAAAGTAAAGGTTAGGAGACTCCTAATGCACAGTAAAAGTTTATGTTTTACAAACTCTTTGATGTTAATCTTTTCTATTTCAAAAGGTCAATACCTCCTCAACATTTTTTATGAAAATTCAATGAATTGGTTTATGGGTAAATTTTAACAATTTGTGAAATGTGTGTGACTGCTGTCATTTGTTTTGGGTCTTGCATTTTGTTTTTTGTTTCAAATTATGTATCAAACTACATCACAAATTTATTATCATCAAGATAATAATTTAAGCCTATTTGTCTAATTTTCTTCAATCCCTTTTATATCAAATATATATGACTATTAAGGAAAATATTTTTTGTTATTTTTGGTGGAAATATGATTATAATACAGAAATATTTGATTTGCTAATAGTAGATACCAGAATGTAAAGAAGTCTTAATTTTATAAATTAAAATTTAAAAAACCTGGATGTTACAAGTTAATATTTTGAAGCTAGAGATGAGTTTGCTTAATTATGCATTGGTACAAGGCTTGAAGGCAAGTAGTTAAAGAAGTACCATGGGAGGCAGAGCATTTACAATATAATATTTGATCTTTATAAACCAAATGTTGACTGGCTTTTTTAACGAAAAGAGATTTTTTCATATTTTTTGAGGGTTACCATTTTTATTCCTCTTATCAGTGAAAAAGAAGGAATTAGTCATATCAATAAGATAAATAAAAGCTATTTGAGTGGATGTTAAAGAAGTACCACAGTTATGAGTGATCTAAGAAAGCTGATCATCTATTTCCTGATTAGGTTTTATGCTATAACTAACAAATTCTTCCCTCAGCTCCTTTTATTTTTAACCTTGATCTCATTTACTTTTTTCAAACTTGACTAATATCTCTTCCATTATTTTGCTTTGTTCTTCACTGCACCATTCTGCAGGTTAACCAAAATGAAAGAATGAAATTTATTCTGTCTTCAGGCACAGAATTCAATGCAATCAAATCTCTCACACTTGGTAAAATTTTAGGTAAGTGGAACACCACCGGGTTTTCTAAAACATAGATCAAAATGTCATCATGGCACACAAGAAATAATAACCATAATCTCATTCAAAGACATTTGTTGTCTTGGATTTAATTAGACACTGAGTTACAATCAAGGTAGAATCTTCAATCTTGTTGAAATACAAGTACAATCATGGCTAAGTACTTCCCAAAAAATGATCAAGTGGGTTCCATTAAAAGTAATTTTACACTTCTCTCTCATTTTGCAATCAAGCATTATGAAACATCACTTTTTTTTTACACTTAGGAAAAAATAAATCACTATGAAATCATACACAAAGACCACTGAATATTATTAATAATGTACTGTATTTGAAAAACTTTCTGTGACTAGATTTTTATGGAAACAGTCAGGGATAAGGTGATGCAAGCAAAAATTTTGTTGGAGTAAATTTTTTAAAAAGTTAAGCTATGAAAAAATAATTTGTCTGACAATGATTCATCAAAAGCTACCTGTTTCTCTGTAGCAATGATCAACATGGAATTTACCTATATACAACTACCATTTTGTGAATTTTGTTAAAATAAAATAGTCTGAACTGAAGTTCTCAAGACTTTATTATTTTCATTTTCATCACTTTGGAAAAACTCAATGATAGAGGATAATGTGGTGCTTGTAAAAAGTTAAATGGTATTTATCTTTCCTACAAAGATATTTAAAGTCTGTGTTGCTACATTCCCAGATCACGTAAAGATCCGTTTGTGCATTCTTACTCTTATCGCACTTTTGTTGCAACCATTTGAAAACGGAGCTGGTGTAGGTTGTGACACATAGTAACCAAGGTTACACTGTCATTTTCACCATTTTCTGGTTAGGCTGATTATCTGCACCTTTCCATGAGTGATTTTGGGCTAAGTGTAGAATAAAAAAGTTTACCAAAATGCGGGTTATCGGAAAAGATTATATCTAAGTTTATAGATCTTGGATGTTTATCATTTCATATGGCACACAAGTTATCACCATTACTGAAAGCAATTGTGTTTATTTTTATTGAAAGCAATTTTTTTAGATTATGAACCTTGTTCCAAAATAAGACCTGTGAAATAAACTCCCTCCCTGTCTAAAACTTTGGTGCTTGAACATTTAGCTAGTAAACTGCCTGCAAAGGTGTAATGGTTTCCCATTCTTTAAAAGATCTCTTTAAGTAAGCTAAAGTGTTAACACGGGCTTTTTTGTAGAAATAAATTCAGAAAACTGTGATATGTCACATAGAAGAAATTGAGTTTTCATCTCAACTTAGTATAAACAATATATTACTGTCCTGATTAGAAAGGTTAGTTAGAACTCTGTCCCAGTTGAAACTAGGACAATTACTTTAGCTTGCCCTGCTCCCCTAGGCTTATAGGAACTATTTAAATATTTTATATAATACCTACCCTAAACTAGAAGTTCGAAGTGTGTTCTTCACATTCAGTTGTATGTGGTTTAGTTTAGAGGAATTTTATTACTATATACTTGAGGTGCCTCTTCAGGATCCATATATCTACCAGTTTTTGTATAATACCTTCGGGAATAACATAACAGCTTAGGTAAATCAATGTTTCTGCCATTGTAACAGACCCAGAAATACAGTCCTGGATACGATGGCAGAAAATACTGTCTGAACTCCAGCTACATTCAAAAAATGTAAAACCAAAATAAAATGTGTATAAATTCATTTTCTACTTTATTCTTAGCAAAAATTAAAGTTTAGCTCTTTCTGTCACACATATGCCTGCATACACACACATGTACACAAAAATCAGTTCCAGATATACCCTCTCTTATATGTAATCTTATCTAGAAAAAAGGACTTAATTAAAACGAAGAAGCATAATTAAGATGATTTCTGACTTATAATTGTTTAGAAAAGAAGATATGCAAAACAATTAATTGAGAGAGATTTGAATGCGATATTTCCAGCATAAATAATTTAATAGGCTGATATGTAAGATCTCAGATTCAGAGAATGGTTTGAGTTGGAAGACACCTTAAAAGATCATCTAATCCTCATGCCACAAGCAGGGACTTTTTTCCCTAAATCAAATTACTGAAAGCCCTATATAACCTGATCTTGAACACTTCTAGGGATGGGGCATCCACAACTTCTCAGGGCAGCCTGTTCCAGTGTCTCACCACTGGAAAAACAAAACAAAACGAAACAAAACAAATCATCAAAAAACAACCCCAAACATTTTACTTATGTCTGGCTAATCTAAATCTACCCTCCTTCAGTTTTAAAACCATTACCTCTGTCATACAGGCCCTTGCAAAGAATCTCTCTCCCTGTTTCTTATAAGCTGTCTTTATATATTGAAAGGCTGCAATAAAGGTTTCTCGGAGCCTTCTCTTCTCCAGGCTGAATAATGCAACTATTTGGATAAGACCATGTAGCCAACTCCTTATCCATCAAACAGATGGTTACAGTTTCAGTTCTGAAAGTGTTATCTAGAATAGGTGGAAGAACAATTTTGAATATATAATAAAATGCACACAGTGATAATTGTTTTCGTAATTATGTTAACCAGATGCTAAGCAGCTTAAAATGAATTCAGTAATGAAACTTACAGATCATATTTATAGACTTCAAAAAAAATTCCTAATTATTGTTTAGTTGTGATTGTTTGGAAGTGTGTCCATGTAGCTGATCTGTTTTCTTACTGGAAAAACTAACTAAGGACCTCTAACACAAACAGAAACATATATTACTTATGAAATGTAGATTTTCTTTATAGAACACACAGTCCAGAAAAGAACTGCTACATAGATACGCACAGAGAACAGAAAAGACAATGATCGTTTAAGCACAACTTTAAAGCAATATTAGCCGAAATATAAATTACTAGAAGAAAATTATTTAAAATATTTCAAAATTCCACAAATTAATGATAAAACCGAATTTATAATACTTCGAATTGCAGCAGTCTATTGTAGTGACATTTTCATGAGGGTAATACTGCAATGACCAGTACAGAATTAAAGGTTTTGTCATCTTTGTTATGAAATTCCCTGTCAAGTCTTGCATGAATTTACTTGAAAATATATTTGATGTAATGTAATGAAATATACATTTTTAGAAAAATAGCAATCTCTTTTGATCAGAACCAATGTTGTCTCTTCCAAACAAACCACAATGTGATAAAAGTTCAGAGGTGGGAATTTCTGCACTTATATGGGCTTTGCATCATGCCGGTAGTGTGAAACATGGGAGTTACAAGGACCGGTGGGGACACTCAGCCTGATTTGGGTCGCTTTACAGAATCTGTCCTGAAGAAAATGTGTTATACTTGTCTCTTTCAAAGGAGAGATGCTGTTGAAGAGCTGATGTTTCTTTTATAAATCTGGCTGCTTTGGGTCCTGATTCCTGTATTGTCATATCTCGAGATAGAAGGAAACTGTGAAGGCAGCGCAAAAAAAGTAATGAGTATTTGTTGCAGTGAAGAAGTCTAAATAGAAGGAGTAACAAAATATGAAATCATGTAGTTCTTGTACTTTGAAGTATTGTTCAGGAAAAACCCACAAGTTTTAAAGTAGACCAGAAAGCTATGGATTTTCTAAGAGTTATCTTCACTTGGAGAAGCACTTGTCTGAGCTCTTCTGCAATTGTACATAGCTTATTTTTTTGTTGAAAGCAAGTCTGGAGTTAGATGCTGAACTAGTTTTGAAATCCCAGGGGAAAAAAAAAATAAATCAGTGTTCTTCCTCCCTTCCTAGAACCTAAGCCTTTCAATTTAAAGATTCCTGAATTTATGTTATGCAACATTGTGTCAAAATAGTCAGGGAGCTAGGCTGTGTTGGAACTCGGTCAAATATGTGAAAGTTAAGTTGTTAGGGAAAAGAAAAGCAGCACACTCAGCCACAGAGTTCACAGGATACAAACCAAAGGGCTCCTTATGGCTTTGTTTTCCTCTAAAGAAGACACTTTCTTTCAAAGCACCCCACACTGTAGAAAGGCTGTAGAAACCTCTATTTTTACAGCAACCCACTGAAGAAGTAATTTATTTCTGATGAGTAAAGCCATGTTTTCCAAGGACAAAACTTCCTAAACTTCTTCAGGGTGAGGAGGGAATCTGTGGGTGAAGTTTTTCTTCAGTGACAGTTGTCACATCCACATAAAAATTCATTATTTCAGGAATAAGTAAAGACAAATTTTCACTAGACTCTTAATAAGAAAGTAGAGTTAAACCAGTAAAATATTTTTTACTCTCAAGTGAAATGGAATTTCTGTGTATTCAAACAATTCCATTTTACTTGTAGTGAAATTGTCCTTTCTTGTATTGTTTTGTCTCTGAAATTATAAGACTGTATAATTTAGTTGTCTTTATGGGAATATCTTTGAGGATAATTAATAACTACACAGCTTCCTTAAGATCTCTAATTATTATAGTGTTATTGATAAAATAATGATGGAATTGCAAAACTCTCACTGTGCTCCACTGATATGCAAAAAATGGTGATAACTGAAACTGTTAATTTCAAAATCAGCCTTTTAAAACAAAAATGTCTCAGTACTCTGAAACAAGCACTGTAATGAAGCACATGCTAAACAATAATTGCCTTTAAAATGTCCATTTCTCTTTATGCAGATTTTTCAAATATATGAATTCAGGAATTCATATAATAATAAAATAATAAAATTCAATTGTTTAAAGTTGATTTAGAAAAGCCTTTAATATAAGTCTGTTAGTGTAAAATACGCATTTTTATGCAGCTCTCTCTATTTGAAGTACTTATAATAATACTCCAGCAAATTTATGTGGTTGTTTTTTTTTTTTT